ATCAACCAAAAAGAAAAAAAGTAAAAAGAATATAATGGTATCAGAGAAAATGAAATAAACGTGAATGTTACAAAGAGGTTTAGGCAAAAAGGAAACTAAGTGTGTCAAACTGGAAAGCAAAAAAGAGAAACAATGAAAAAATCAGAAACGAAACGAAAGAAAACATTGGAGAAAGGAAGAATGGGAAAACCAAAAGAGTGTGGTAAAAGACAAACTGGTTAATAAAAAATCAAACGTATAGATAGACAGACAGATAAATAGATAGATAGATAGATAGATAGATAGATAGATAGATAGATAGATAGATAGATAGATATATAAAAAAATCAAGAATTAATATTTAAGAACGGTCAAACAGTGCGGAGATTGGAGTTGCGGACTAACCATATAGTAATCCTGAGAGGGGGATCTGCCTGTCACAGATACATTCTGCACCAGAGTTCTATTGCTCGTCTGAAAGTAGGTTACACATTCAATTTACATAATTAGCTTAACTGTGTATGTGTGTGTGTGTGTGTGTGTGTGTGTGCGTGTATGTATGGTAATTAGTTACTTGTTTCGTTTGTTTGTTTGTTCTTACTTAAATATATTTGTAGTAGAGACAGGCTTTGGGCGCAATCGGTTATCACAGATTGCGCCGGTTTTGTCATGGGTTTTCATCGTTTTCCCTTTCATTTCGTGTTTTCTATTATATATTGTTCCTCATGGAAAGAAAACAAAAGGAAGATATAAACAGATGTTACAAGAGAACGTTGTTACAAAGAGTAAGAAGAAAGGAAATATAAGAGAAACAGATAGATAGATAGATAGATAGAGAGAGAGAAAGAGAGAGAGAGAGAGAAGTGAAGCGAGTCAACAGAATGAAGAAAAGTCTGGAGATTATCCATCGTTTCGGGTGAACACGTCCGTCGCGCACGGTCCCGAACGAATCCCTGTCTTGTCGTTTCTTTTGCTCGAATTCCTTGCTTCGGACCGTGAGAGACCGTCCCCCGGTCGCGACACTGGCAAACGAGACTCCGGCTCCGTCGAGGAGACGTATCGTATCGCACGGTCAACCAACGTGCGACCATTGGAAACGAATCGGAATCGACCCTGTGACGGTGCGACGACCCGACGTACACGATCACGAGCCACGGTTCGTTCGGTCAAGTATGCGCTAGCTTCATCAGGTTCAACCCGTTCCCTCGAAGGAACACCGAACAAAAAAAGGGGACGGAAAAACGAGAGAGAGAAAGAGAGAGAGAGAGAAAAGAAAACCTCGACACACGAAAGAGAACGAAAACACCAGCAGAAGAATCGTAAACGATCGTCGTCGACGAGGAAGGCCAGCTTGTTCGTCCCTTCCGACTCTCGCTCGGTCCCTAGGCCATTCTCGTGGCGCGACGGATCCTCGAAGACAGACGGGCTGTGAAACGTGACAGGGCGAAACGAGATCCAACGTCCGACACGTCGAGTGGAAACAGTTAGCCACGATCAGTCGAGTCGAGTTATTTAGAGGACTACCTTCCACCGCGTTTCTTCGTCCTTCGCTTCGAAGTCGGCCAAAGACGACCGACGGTTGAACAAAGTCTGCGAGCGCCCTGAGTTTCGCCGACCAAGGGAAAGGATTGCTCCGAGTAACGGGACCAATGGGTCGAGGACTGCGTGGACCACTGCTAACTCGCTACTAAACGGCGCCTAGCGGTCTAGGGGACCTAAGGACTGCTGGGGACTCTTCAGGGATCTCGAAAATCGGACGTAAGCTCGGAAGGTCTTAGCTTCCTCTAAACCTTGCGGGCCTGCGCGCGCGCACGCGTTTCAACGATCGAAGGACCTCCGCCCGTCCTGACCAACTCAAGCTCCCCGGGCATCGATCGAAGGACGAACCTCGACAGGCAAAGATCGCTCGACACCGGTTCGATTCGGTCGTCGAACGATCCTTCGCGCTCCCGTCGACCCCTACGAACCGCCGTGGACTGGAACGAAGTTGCCGTTACGGACGTTTCCAGAAGAACATGGAGGATCCAGCGGGAAGTCTCGTCGGACAATCCGACGGACAGTGTCTCGGTCTCGCAAGGATCCGAGGCGTAGAAGAGTTTCGACCTCGTTCGAGGGTCGTTACCATTTTCATGTCCCACAGGGTGATTCGGTGATTCCTGACAGAGGTGCACGAAGCCTCGATACGGAGGACATTTTGAGAAACTCGCAGTGACTCCATCGGACAGGCGGTTCGCTGGGTCGTCTTTCCTTGGGTGACCCGTGGATACGGGGTGAACTCAACTGAAAATGCAAACCAAGATAAAGAACGTGTTGGAATGTGAACGAGTAAGTGAAGGGGCCACTGGGACCGAGTGTACAGGGTGGCTCGAGAGGATCGCAGCTGCGTCACCGGTAAGTTCAAAGCGAATATACTTTCAACTCGACGATTCTCGCGCGTCGATCCTCGCGGCCAGTGTACACTCGTCACGGTGCGCGCAGGGTGCACACCGATAAACGTCTGGTATCCTCCGTTGCCAAGTTGGGTCAGGATCGATCGGTACACCCTGCACCGGCAATCTAAACGAGGAAACGACAGTGGAAACGAGACACGGCGACCCAAAAGAACGTTCAACGGTCTCGCTGTGTGTATGTGTGTGTGCGGCGCACGCCGACTGGAGCGTGCGTTCACCTATACGGAGACGACGACGACGACGACGACGACGATGACGATGTTGACGGCGACGCTGACGACGACGGCGACGACGAGAACTGTAGGAGCGTCGCGTAGCTGTATCATAATATATTTTTATATATATATGTATCTCTATTATCACCGTCCTTCTCTTATCGTGTTCTCGGTACAGATTTCTTTGAACCCCGTGTAACGGGGTGAAGTATATATCATGGAGTTGGGTGGTGGGTGGTGGGGGGCTTTGGGGGCCCGAGAGAACGCTGACTTCGAGTGATGGTATGAGAGTGAGAGATAGGGATAGTTACCTGTGTCTGTAGTCGTGTTAGACCACGGAGCCATAGAATTTGTCCCTTGCGAGGCTTTTTATCCGAGTCAGGGTCGAATTTCTCATCTCCGAGATTGATCGCACCGATATCATCCGGCTGGCCGCGGCCCCATCTGTTTTTGAAAAAACATGAAACCAATTCTTCATCACTCGATCCCTGTTACACATATTGGTCTATAATCAAA